GCAATTCGAAACGTCGTGATTTAATTTAGTTTATTTGTTTTACTGAGTGAGCAAATATTTATTGCTCCGGTTGTCACACCTGATGATGGTTGCTTGTGTTGCAATTCGAAACGTCGTGATTTAATTTAGTTTATTTGTTTTACTGAGTGAGCAAATATTTATTTCTCCGGTTGTCACACCTGATGATGGTTGCTTGTGTTGCAATTCGAAACGTCGTGATTTAATTTAGTTTACTTGTTTTACTGAGTGAGCAAATATTTCTTTCTCCGGTTGTCACACCTGATGATGGTTGCTTGTGTTGCAATTCGAAACGTCGTGATTTAATTTAGTTTATTTGTTTTACTGACTGAGCAAATATTTATTGGTCCGGTTGTCATACCTGATGATGGTTGCTTGTGTTGCAATTCGAAACGTCGTGATTTAATTTAGTTTATTTGTTTTACTGAGTGAGCAAATATTTCTTTCTCCGGTTGTCACACCTGATGATGGTTGCTTGTGTTGCAATTCGAAACGTCGTGATTTAATTTAGTTTATTTGTTTTACTGAGTGAGCAAATATTTCTTTCTCCGGTTGTCACAACTGATGATGGTTGCTTGTGTTGCAATTCGAAACGTCGTGATTTAATTTAGTTTATTTGTTTTACTGAGTGAGCAAATATTTCTTTCTCCGGTTGTCACACCTGATGATGGTTGCTTGTGTTGCAATTCGAAACGTCGTGATTTAATTTAGTTTATTTGTTTTACTGAGTGAGCAAATATTTCTTTCTCCGGTTGTCACACCTGATGATGGTTGCTTGTGTTGCAATTCGAAACGTCGTGATTTAATTTAGTTTATTTGTTTTACTGAGTGAGCAAATATTTCCTTCTCCGGTTGTCACACCTGATGATGGTTGCTTGTGTTGCAATTCGAAACGTCGTGATTTAATTTAGTTTATTTGTTTTACTGAGTGAGCAAATATTTATTGGTCCGGTTGTCACACCTGATGATGGTTGCTTGTGTTGCAATTCGAAACGCCGTGATTTAATTTAGTTTATTTGTTTTACTGAGTGAAAAAATATTTCTTTCTCCGGTTGTCACACCTGATGATGGTTGCTTGTGTTGCAATTTGAAACGTCGTGATTTAATTTCACACAGCTTAAAGGTCGTGATCTAAGCGTGGCTTCTTCCACTCCAGCGCTGTCCTCCAGACAGTCTCGTCCCTTCACCTGATGAAGGCCGCTTGTGTTGTGGCCGAAACGTCGTGATTTTTTGTTATTTTATTTTCACCTACGTGACTTTACCCAATAGAACCAAACAGTATGGATCCTAGCAGTCACGAAAGCTTTAAATCTAGAATTAATTTAGTTTATTTGTTTTACTGAGTGAGCAAATATTTATTTCTCCGGTTGTCACACCTGATGATGGTTGCTTGTGTTGCAATTCGAAACGTCGTGATTTGATTTAGTTTATTTGTTTTACTGAGTGAGCAAATATTTCTTTCTCCGGTTGTCACACCTGATGATGGTTGCTTGTGTTGCAATTCGAAACGTCGTGATTTAACTTAGTTTATTTGTTTTATTATTATTTTTCCCCCCAAACTTACGTCACTTTACCGAAAGAATAAAAGAGTGTGGATCCTTGCAGTCACGAAAACTTCAAATCTGGAATGCAACTTGGATCACACTACTTTAAGAGATCTTCACTCAAAGCTGCTCTAAGATGAGTTGTACATCACCCCCAGATGCCACTGCTATTCAATGGCCTGAAATCAAATGCATCGCTCTGGATGCCCACTGCAAGGGATGACCTTTAAGGTGAGAGACTCGATTAGTTGAGCCTTCTTATCCCGGAGTCTGTTGAATGATCGCGATCTGGGCGTGGCTTTTTCACTCCAGCGCTGTCCTCCAGACAGTCTCGTCCCTTCACCTGATGAAGGCCGCTTGTGTTGTGGCCGAAACGTCGTGAGAACATTAATGTGTTATTTTATTTTATCAATTTATTATTTTATTCTCATTCCACGTGGTGGTGGTGACTTTACCGAAAGAACCAAAGAATATGAATCCTTGCAATCACGAAAGCTTTAAATCACTTTAAGATGTTTTTTCTTGTTCGCGTTTTGGTGGGTGTTTTTTGGGGGGGGGTTGTTTGTTGCGGTTGCACCACGATTCAAGAGCCCGCGAATGGCTCACAGGGATCGATACCAAATACTGTACATGAAAAACTGAAACTTTTAACTAACAAAAACATCTCCCCCCCTCCCTCCTCCCCCTCCCCCTCCCCCCTCCCTCCTCCCCCCCTTCTCCCCTTTCCCCCCTCACCCTCTCTTCCGTCATCTCCCCCCCCTTCTCCCCCTCCCCCCCCTTCGCCCCCTCCCCCCCCTTCTCCCCCTCCCCCCCTTTTCCCCTCCCCCCTTCCCCTCGCCCCTTTCCCCCTCCCCCTTTCCCCCTCCCCCTTCTCCCCTTTCCCCCCTCCCCCCCTTTCCCCCCCCTTCTCCCCTCCCCCCTTTCCCTCTCCCACCCTTTCCTCCCCCTCCCCCTTCTCCCCCTCCCTCTTCTCCCCCTCCCCCTTCTCCCCCTTCTCCCCCTCCCCCTTCTCCCCCTTCTCCCCCTTTCCCCCCTCCCCCCCCTTTCCCCCCCCCTTCCCCCCCTCCCCCCTTTCCCTCTCCCCCCCTTTCCCCCCTCCCCCTTCTCCCCCCTCCCCCCTCCCTCTTCTCCCCCTCCCTCTTCTCCCCCTCCCCCCCTCCCCCTCCCCCCTTTCCCCCCCTCCCCCTCCCCCCCTTTCCCCCCTCCCCCTTCTCCCCTTTCCCCCCTCCCTGACCCCTCCCCATTGTCCCCCTCTCCCAAACCGTCGATTCCGATTCCACGTGCTCCCCGCACATAGCGATCCACACCATCACCCACCGGACGTTTCTTCGCCGATTCGATTCCCGCTCATACACCACACCGCGTTCCCCGATTCCTAACTAATCGGAATCGACAAATCCTGAGTGGATCCCAAAGGCGTGCGCCGCCGATGCCCCAGGCCAGCACGGCCCGGCACGGTTCGGTTCGGCACGGTTCGGTTCGGCACGGTTCGGTTCGGTTCGGCACGGTTCGGTTCGGTTCGGCACGGTTCGGCACGGCACGGCACGGTTCGGTTCGGCACGGTTCGGTTCGGCACGGCACGGTTCGGTTCGGCCCGGTTCGGCCCGGCACGGTTCGGTTCGGCACGATTCGGTTCGGCACGGCACGGTTCGGTTCGGCCTCTGGGAAGTTAACTTCATGCTATGGCCTTGAGGGATCTTCGCTCGCAATCGCCCCGCAGTCAACAGCTGAAGCAACAGCAACAACAGCTGAAGCAACAGCAGCAGCAGCAGCTGAAGAAGCAGCTGAAACAGAGCAGCTGAAACAGCAGCAAGAGCAGCTCAAGCAGCTACAGCAGAAACTACAGCAGCTACAGCAGCAACAACTCAAGCAACAACAACAACAACTCAAGCTACAGCAACAACTCAAGCAGCTGCAGCAGCAACTACAGCAGCAGCAACAGCAGCTGCAGGAGCAGCTACAGCAGCAGCTACAGCAGCAGGAGACTTACTGCCCAGGCCCTTGCCATGTTACCCCAACGGGTGGTGCTGCTCGTCCGGCCGCCCGGCTCGCTCCTCGGGTCCGCGGAGGCGGCTAGGCGAGGCCGTGGTCTCGCCGCGGCCTACCCGAGCTGGAGGAGCGTTGCGGGTGGTGGTGGTGGTGGTAGTGGTGGTGGTGGTAGTGGTGGTGGTGTTGGTGGTGGTAGTGGTGGTGGTAGTGGTGGTCGTGGTGGTGGTGGTGTTAGTGGTGGTCGTGTTGGTGGTGGTAGTGGTTGTGGTGGTAGTGGTGGTGGTGTTAGTGGTGGTGTTAGTAGTGTTGGTAGTGGTGTTGTTGGTGGTGCTGGTGGTGTTGGTCGTGGTGTTGGTAGTAGTGGTGGTCGTAGTAGTAGTGGTGGTGGTAGTGGTGTTGTTGGTAGCGGTGTTGGTGGTGTTGGTAGTGGTGGTGGTAGTTGTGTTGTTGGTGGTAGTGGTTGTGGTGTTGGTAGTAGTGGTGGTCGTGTTGGTGGTGGTGGTAGTAGTAGTGGTGTCGGTAGTAGTGGTGGTAGGGGTAGTAGTAGTGTTGGTGTTGGTAGTAGTGGTGGTGGTGGTTGTGGTGGTAGTAGTGGTGGTGGTAGTGGTGTTGGTAGTAGTGGTGTTGGTAGTAGTGGTGGTAGTAGTGTTGGTGTTGGTAGTAGTGGTGGTGGTGGTGGTAGTAGTGTTGGTGTTGGTAGTAGTGGTGGTGGTGGTAGTGGTGGTGGTAGTGGTGTTGGTAGTAGTGGTGGTGGTAGTAGTGGTGGTGGTAGTAGTGGTGGTGGTGGTAGTAGTAGTGGTGGTGGTAGTGGTGGTGGTGGTTGTGGTGGTAGTGGTGGTGGTGGTTGTGGTGGTACAATGAGTATCAGCAGCGGCAGTCGTATCAGCGGCGGTAGTAGTAGGATCAGCAGCATTGGTATCAGCAGCTGCAGTGGTATCAGCAGCGGTGGTAGTAGTATCAGCAGTGGCGATAGTATCAGCAGCCTCAGCAGCAGCAGTAGTAGCATCAGACGCAACAGCATCAGCGATCGAACTATCAACAGCGGCGGCAGTATCATCAACAACAGCAGACGCAGTAGCAACAGCAGAAGCAGATGCAACGGTATCATCAACAGCAACAGAAGCAACAGCATCGGCAGCAGTATCAACAGCAGCAGCAGCAGCATCAACAACAGCATCAGCAGCAGTATCAACTGCAGCAGCAGCAGCATCAACAACAGCATCAGCAGCAGTATCAGCAACAGCAGCAGGTGGATCAACAGCATCAACATCATCATTCACAGCATCAACAGCAGCATCATCAACAGCAACATCAGCAGAAGGTTCAGCAACAGCATCAGCAGCAGTATCAACAACAACAGCAGCAGCAGAAGCATCAACAACAGCATCAGCAGCAGTATCAACAACAGCAGCAGATGGATCAACAGCAGCATCATCATTCACAGCATCAACAGCAGCATCATCAACAGCAACATCAGCAGAAGGTTCAGCAGCAGCAGCATCAGCAGAAGTAGTAGCAGCAGCAGCAGCATCAGCAGAAGTAGTAGCAGCAGCAGCAGCAGTAGTGCTGGAGGAGCTCTGTCAATGTCGGACTTTCACGAGCTTGCTCGGGAGCGATCCAAAACCGTCACCTCCTTCTACAACCAGTCAGCCATTGACGCAGCAGCTGAGAAGGTCCGTGGTGGTAGTGGGTGGAGGTGGTGGTGGGTGGGTGGTGGTGGTGGTGTGTGAGTGTGTCATGCTGCTTGTGTGTGTCACAAATCGCTCTCTTTAACTCCATCAAAAAAGTAACCCGCAGCGCTGCCGCACCTAATCGCCATCATCGGGGGGAAAGAACGGTGATCCAATCTCCGACCGCCCCCCGAGGAACACGTTCGCGGATCTGCTGAGCGTTTCTGTGGGGTCCTGGGGGAGGGGAAATCCCCCGGCCAGGTAAACATCGTGGGGCAAAGTGGGGATGACGCTGCCGAGGCTGCGGTGCCTCAAATATTGGAGGAGGAAGTCACCCCCTTGTGAGTGTGTGGCTGGCTGAGGTGCCATCTGTTGAGGAAGTACTGAAGGCGATCCAGAGTCTGAGACCAGGAAAAGCGCCGGGCAGAGATGATCTCCCAAGCGAAATGCTGAGGGAGGGTGGCGTTTGTGCACAGACTGCCCTACGTGACATCATAATAACAGTCTGGACCACTGGACGGGTTCCGCAGGATTGGAAGGATGCCCTGGTGGTCCCCCTCTTTAAGAAGGGGGACCGCACAGACTGTAACAACTACAGGGGCATCTCACTCCTCAGTGTGCCGGGAAAGGTCCTGGCAAGGATTATTCAACATCGCCTTGCCAGGCACGCTGAGGAGAGGCTTGCGGAGCCCCAATGCGGTTTCAGGAAAGGGCGGTCCTGCACAGATGCCATATTTTCTGTCCGTCTGCTACAGCAGTGGTGTAGGGAATTCCAACAAGACCTACATCTCTGCTTTATTGACCTGGTCAAGGCCTATGACACCATCAGTAGGCCTGGGCTCTGGGTTGTTCTTCATGCTTTCGGAGTCCCTGACCCCCTGCTCACGATCATTAAGGACCTTCATGATGATGAGCGGGCCCGGGTAAAACTACGTGGCTGGAAGTCAGAGCCATTCCCTGTACACCTTAGGGTGCGACAGGGATGTCCTCTGGCTCCCACATTATTTAACATCTATTTCTACCATGTAGTTCGTGAAGCATTCAATAGCTGTACCGGAGGAATTTCCATCTGGTATAGATACAATGGGAGGATATTCGATGTCCGGGTGCGGTCAAGGGATGGCTCCCTATTGCTCAATCATGTTATGTATGCTGATGATCTGGTAATTGCTGCTCACTCAGAGGAGGAGTTGGAGGTGCTGCTGCTGAACTTGGCTTGCCACTAAGAGATGGGGCCTTACCATCAGCCCCACCAAAACTAAGCACCTGCCTGGGTATTTTGTACCATCGGACACTCCACCCCACAACTCCCAATTGGTGATGTGGCAGTTGTGGAGAGAGTGGAGAGTTTCCCATACCTGGGAAGTGTACTCATGACTGGCTCTGGTTTGACAGCAGAGGTCTAAATCGGTCGAGTGGCATTATCTTTTCATCGGTTGCGTAACGCTGTGTGGAAACTACCTGGTCTGTCGCTCCGCACGAAGCTTCAGGTCTTCTCGGCCATGGTCATTCCCTCCCTTCTCTACGCTTGCGAAACGTGGACCCCCCCCCCTAATGGAACATCTTCGCCGGTCAGAAACATTTAGGCTAGCCTGCCTACGATCCATCCTGGGTTTAACCAGACTGGATTGTGTGAGGAGCTCACAAATCCTTGAAAGATCTGGGCAAGGTCCCATCGGTGAGCTCCTCCGGCGGGCAAGGCTGCGATGGCTGGGTCATGTAGCCCGCATGCCCAGCCACCGCATGCCGAAACAGCTTTTGTTCGGCCGGATAGAGGGGGCTAGGTAAGAGATGGAGTGATGTGGAGCTGAGTGGACTTGGAGGCAAGTTGCTCACAACAACAAGCGGAGCGTCGGGCGGCTAAAACACAGCAAGTTGGCACAGTAGGGGCACAGGTGGTGCATCAGCCAGTCATCTCAGTCAGTCGACCCGTGGCACCTGGGTCTGCCCCGTGACCTCCTGCCGGCGGGCGTTCGACACTTCACGTGGCCTCAAGGTGCACATAGCCTGGCACAAGCGTCGTGGTGACGTCACCGCCACTTAGTGGCGAATGGCGGTTGTTGTTGTGTGTGTGTATCATGCTGTGTGTGTATCATGCTGTGTGTGTGTGTATCATGCTGTGTGTGTCTTCACAGCCGTCCGTGCGTCTCACCCCCACCACCATGCTCTACTCTGGAAAGGCTCCTGATGGCAGTCATATCTTGGTGAGAGACACACGGGGAGAGAGTGTGTGCATGGACGTGTGATTGTGCACGTGTGTGTGTGTGTGCGGACGTGTGATTGTGCACGTGTGTGTGTGTGTGCGGACGTGTGATTGTGCACGTGTGTGTGTGTGGACGTGTGATTGTGCGTGTGTGTGCGTGTGCGCGGACGTGTGATTGTGCACGTGTGTGTGTGTGCGGACGTGTGATTGTGCACGTGTGTGTGTGTGTGGACTTGTGATTGTGCACGTGTGTGTGTGTGTGTGTGGACGTGGGTCAGCGCTACGCTGCGCTACGAACCCGGCATCCCCTGTTCGATTCCCGCTCACGGCCACCAATATCAGTGACAGCGATGATCTGAACCGGTCCCTGGGCCTCCCCTAGGTCGACTCAGCCTCAAATGAGTACTTGGTCCAGCGGTGTGTAGTAGTGAACATCGCCACTGGGGGAGAGACAAAGGCGGCCGGGCGTGGTGGTGGCCACCCACCCCCCGCTCTGTCTGTGTGCAGCCACAGTGCCGGTAGCCTTCATAGGCGCTGACGCTCGCTAACGGCACTTGCCCCAACAGTCTGTTCAGGCTACACGGGGGATCTTTGTCTTTGTACGTGTGTGCGCGATTAGCACGGTTGGCTTCGTGCGGTGCAAAATAAGTTCAACGTGCACGCATACTTGTGTGAGTGTGTGTGAGTGCGTGTGTGTGAGTGTGTGTGAGTGTGTGTGTGAGTGTGTGTGTGAGTGCGTGTGTGAGTGCGTGTGTGTGAGTGTGTGAGTGCGTGTGTGAGTGCGTGCGTTTGTGCAGGGCTGCGTGACCCAGCCAACGCACGCCCAAGCCAAACACTACTTGGCCGGTTAGATGGGGCTTAACGGGCATGGCCCACAGGCTGGAGAAGAGATGGAGTGATGGGTGGGTGGGTGGGTCGGTGAGCTAGTGAGTGGCTGAGCGAGTGAGTGTTGGCTTGCTGAGCGAGTGACACGGGCTGGAGAAGAGACGGAGTGACGGGTGGGTGGGTCGGTGAGCTAGTGAGTGGCTGAGCGAGTGAGTGTTGGCTTGCTGAGCGAGTGACTCGGGCTGGAGAAGAGACGGAGTGACGGGTGGGTGGGTCGGTGAGCTAGTGAGTGGCTGAGCGAGTGAGTGTTGGCTTGCTGAGCGAGTGACACGGGCTGGAGAAGAGATGGGGATGATGCGGTACGGGACGACGTGGAGCTGAGTGGACTTGCCGAAGACCGGTACCAGCGGTGTAGAGATCGGCCTCTGTGGAGGAGGAGGCTTGTGAAGGACGCTACCGCGCTAGTGCCAGGATAGGTGCACTGTGAGGCTACTGGTCAGTTGGAGGAAATCAAGGTCAATGCCCTCCCTTCTCTACGCTTGCGAAACGTGGACCCCCCTTAATGGAACATCTTCGCCGGTTAGAAACGTTTAGGCTGGCCTGCCTACGATCCATCCTGGGTTTAACCAGGCTGGATTGTGTGAGGAGCTCACAAATCCTTGAAAGATCTGGACAAAGTGCCATCGGTGAGCTTCTCCGGCAGGCAAGGCTGCGTTGGCTGGGTCATGTAGCCCGCATGCCCAGCCACCGCATGCCGAAACAGCTTTTGTTCGGCCGGATCGAGGGGGCTAAACGGGCGCGGCACGGGCTAGAGAAGAGATGGAGTGATGTGGTACGGGAAGACGTGGAGCTGAGTGGACTTGCCGATGACCGGTACCAGCGATGTCAAGATCGGCCTCTGTGGAGGAGGCTCGTGAAGGACGCTACTGGGCAGTTGGAGGCAGTCGCCCTCCAACAACAACGGAGGGCGGAGGAGCGACGCTCACAACAACGAGCGGAGCGCCGGGTGGCTAAAGCACAGCGGGTTGGCACAGTAGGGGGCACAGGTGGTGCATCAGCCAGTCATCTCAGTCAGTCGACCCGTGGCACCTGGGTCTGCCCCGTGACCTCCTGCCAGCGGGCGTTCGACACTTCACGTGGCCTCAGGGTGCACATAGCCTGGCACAAGCGTCGTGGTGACGTCACCGCCACTTAGTGGCGAATGGCTGTTGTTGTTGTTGTCTATGTGTGTGTGTCACTGTGTGTGTGTGTCACACTGCTGTGTGTGTGTGTCACACTGCTGTGTGTGTGTGTCACACTGTGTGTCACTGTGTGTGTGTGTCACACTGTCTGTGTGTGTGTGTAACACTGTGTGTGTGTGTCACACTGTTGTGTGTGTGTGTTGTCTTTTTGCCCCGACAGAAGAGCGCCCGGTACCTGCGGAAGGAGATGCCGGTCCGCATTGCGCACCGCATCAAGGAGTTCCGCAGCCTGCCCTTCATCATCGGGTGCAACCCAAACATCCTCCACGTGGTGCGGGCAGCACTCGCTCGTACATACACACGTACACACACACACGTACACACACATGTACACACACACGTACATACACACGTACACACACACGTACATACACACGTACACGCACACACACACATACACACGTACACACACACACATACACACGTACACACACACGTACACACACGTACACACACACGTACACGCACACGTACACACATGTACACTCAACAACTCAACAACCGCCATTCGCCACTAAGTGGCGGTGACGTCACCACGACGCTTGTGCCAGGCTATGTGCACCTTGAGGCCACGTGGAGTGTCGAACGCCCGCTGGCAGGAGGTCACAGGGCAGACCCAGCAGGTGCCACGGGTCGACTGACTGAGATGACTGGCTGATGCACCACCTGTGCCCCCTACTGTGCCAACCTGCTGTGCTTTAGCCACCCGGCGCTCCGCTCATTGTTGTGAGCGTCGCTCCTCCGCCCTCCGTTGTTGTTGGAGGGCGACTGCCTCCAACTGCCCAGTAGCATCCTTCACGAGCCTCCTCCACAGAGGTCGATCTTGACACCGCTGGTACCGGTCATCGGCAAGTCCACTCAGCTCCACGTCCCCCTGTACCACATCACTCCATCTCTTCTCTAGCCCGTGCCGCGCCCGTTTAGCCCCCTTGATCCGGCCGAACAAAAGCTGTTTCGGCATGCGGTGGCTGGGCATGCGGGCTACATGACCCAGCCAACGCAGCCTTGCCTGCCGGAGGAGCTCACCGATGGGACCTTGCCCAGATCTTTCAAGGATTTGTGAGCTCCTCACACAATCCAGCCTGGTTAAACCCAGGATGGATCGTAGGCAGGCTAGCCTAAATGTTTTCAACCGGCGAAGATGTTCCATTAGGGGGGGGTCCACGTTTCGCAAGCGTAGAGAAGGGAGGGAATGACCGTGGCCGAGAAGACCTGAAGCTTAGTGCGGAGCGACAGACCAGGTAGCTTCCACACAGCGTTACGCAACCGATGAAAAGATATTGCCGCTCGATTGATTCGGCTACACACCTACACACCTCAACACACGCACTCACTCACACACACACACACCTACACACCTAAACACACACACACCTCAACACACACACTCACACACACTCACACCTAAACACACACACTCACACACACCTCAACACACCCGCACTCACACACACGCACGTGTAGGACGTAGTTTCAGTAAGAGTCCTGGCCATCACAAATGTTTGCAGCTCAACAACAAAGTGGCGGATGTTGTGGTCACAGCGTGGACATTTACATCGGCAGCTAAACAACTCTTAAACGCAGCGTGGTGTGACGCAGATTCTAAACGTGGAGAGGGGATAAACCAGAGGACCCAGAGACAAAATCCACACAGACACCACCACGGGGAGAGAGACGCAGACTCCAAATATACAGCAGCAGCAGCAGGCATCGTCCTGTAGACCAGGCGAGGTAGTCAACATCTCTCAGGGTCTGGATCGAACCCACGACCTCCTGTATACCAGGCGAGGTAGTCAACATCTCTCAGGGTCTGGATCGAACCCACGACCTCCTGTATACCAGGCGAGGTAGTCAACATCTCTCAGGGTCTGGATCGAACCCACGACCTCCTGTAGACCAGGCGAGGTAGTCAACATCTCTCAGGGTAATCGAACCCACGGGGCCTCCTGTACACCAGGCGAGGTAGTCAACATCTCTCAGGGTAATCGAACCCACGACCACCTGTAGACCAGGCGAGGTAGTCAACATCTCTCAGGGTAATCGAACCCACGACCACCTGTAGACCAGGCGAGGTAGTCAACATCTCTCAGGGTCTGGATCGAACCCACGACCTCCTGTAGACCAGGCGAGGTAGTCAACATCTCTCAGGGTCTGGATCGAACCCACGACCTCCTGTATACCAGGCGAGGTAGTCAACATCTCTCAGGGTCTGGATCGAACCCACGACCTCCTGTAGACCAGGCGAGGTAGTCAACATCTCTCAGGGTCTGGATCGAACCCACGACCTCCTGTAGACCAGGCGAGGTAGTCAACATCTCTCAGGGTAATCGAACCCACGACCTCCTGTAGACCAGGCGTGGTAGTCAACATCTCTCAGGCCACGACAGTGTGGGGAGCGGTGGTGCAGCGGTTAGCACCACACTAGCCAACAACACCACCGCCACCACTCCATTACATCGATTTATCTGAACTGGTTCTGGGCCTACCCCTAGATCGACTCAGCCTCAAATGAGTAACCTGGTGTAGCTGTGGTGGTTGTGGTGGTGTAGTAAACATCGCCTACTGGGGGAGAGACAAAGGCGGCCGGGCGTGGTGGTGGTGCTGGTGGCCACCCCCTCTGTGTGTAGCCACAGTGCCGGTAGCCTCCATAGACGCTGCTGCTGCTACTCGCTACTAGCAGCACTTGCCCCTACAGCCCTGCTAGAGGCTACCTGGGGGAGCTTTGTCTGTGTGTGCATCGTAGGTGGTGCTACTCGCTACTAGCAGCACTTGCCCCTACAGCCCTGCTAGAGGCTACCTGGGGGAGCTTTGTCTGTGTGTGTGCATCATAGGTGGTGCTACTCGCTACTAGCAGCACTTGCCCCTACAGCCCTGCTAGAGGCTACCTGGGGGAGCTTTGTCTGTGTGTGTGCATCATAGGTGGTGCTACTCGCTACTAGCAGCACTTGCCCCTACAGCCCTGCTAGAGGCTACCTGGGGGATATTTGTCTTTGTGTGTGTGTGTTCCTACAGCATGAGCTGTACATCCGGGCGTTCCACCTCGTCACAGAATCTCCCGCGGTGAGGAAGGGAGCCGGGGATGGGGGTGGGTGGTGAGGTGGTGAGTGGGTGGGTGGTGAGCTGGTGAGTGAGCTGGTGAGCGAGCTGGTGAGCGAGCTGGTGAGTGAGCTGGCAAGTGAGCTTGTGAGTGATCTGGAGAGTGAGCTGATGAGTGATCTGGTGAGTGATCTGGTGAGTGAGCTGGTGAGTGAGCTGGTGAGTGAGTGATCTGGTGAGTGAACTGGTGAGATGGTGAGTGAGCTGGTGGGTGAGCTGGTGAGATGGTGAGTGAGCTGGTGAGCGAGCTGATGAGTGAGTGATCTGGTGAGTGATCTGGTGAGTGAACTGGTGAGATGGTGAGTGAGCTGGTGGGTGAGCTGGTGAGATGGTGAGTGAGATGGTGAGTGAGCTGGTGAGTGAGTGATCTGGTGAGTGAGCTGGTGAGTGAGCTGGTGAGCGAGCTGGTGAGCGAGCTGGTGAGTGAGCTGGCGAGTGAGCTTGTGAGTGATCTGGAGAGTGAGCTGGTGAGTGATCTGGTGAGTGAGCTGGTGAGTGAGCTGGTGAGTGAGTGATCTGGTGAGTGAACTGGTGAGATGGTGAGTGAGCTGGTGGGTGAGCTGGTGAGATGGTGAGTGAGCTGGTGAGCGAGCTGATGAGTGAGTGATCTGGTGAGTGATCTGGTGAGTGAACTGGTGAGATGGTGAGTGAGCTGGTGGGTGAGCTGGTGAGATGGTGAGTGAGATGGTGAGTGAGCTGGTGAGTGAGTGATCTCGTGAGTGAACTGGTGAGATGGTGAGTGAGCTGGTGGGTGAGCTGGTGAGATGGTGAGTGAGATGGTGAGTGAGCTGGTGAGTGAGTGATCTGGTGAGTGAACTGGTGAGATGGTGAGTGAGCTGGTGGGTGAGCTGGTGAGATGGTGAGTGAGCTGGTGAGTGAACTGGTGAGTGAGCTGGTGAGTGATCTGGTGAGTGAGCTGGTGAGTGAATTGGTGAGTGATCTGGTGAGTGATCTGGTGAGTGATCTGGTGAGTGATCTTGTGAGTGAGCTGGTGAGTGAGCTGGTGAGTGATCTGGTGAGTGAGCTGGTGAGTGAGCTGGTGAGTGAACTGGTGAGTGATCTGGTGGTGGTGAGTGATCTGGTGAGCGAGCTGGTGAGTCGGTGGGTGACGCAGGGGTCGTGACTGGTGTCAAGTTCAAAGTCTACCCCCCCTCTACCCCCCCCTCTATCCCCCCCCTCCCCCCCTCCCCCCTTGATCCCCCACGGTGACCCCCTTAATGAGGAGCTGCTGCTATCTTTAGGCGGCTGCCCGGCCCCCCATTGGTGGTTGAGTTGGGTGGAGTGGACAATGAGAGAGTGTGTGAAAGTGTACGTGTGTGTGTACGTGTGTGTACGTGTGTGTGTGTCTGTCTGTGTGTATACGTGTGTGTGTCTGTGTGTGTGTATACGTGTGTCTGTGTGTGAGTGTATGTATGTGTCTGTGTGTGTGTGTCTAGGTGTGAGTGTGTGTGTCTACGTGTGAGTGTGTGTGAGTGTATGTGTGTGAGTGTGTGTGTCTACGTGTGAGTGTGTGTGAGTGTATGTGTGTGAGTGTGTGTGTCTGTGTGTGTGTGTCTGTGTGTGCGCGCGTGTGTGTGTCTGTGTGTGTACCTGTGTGTATCTGTACGTGTGTGTCTGTGTATGTGAGTGTATGTGTGTCTGTGTGTCTGTGTATGTGTGTGTATGTGTCTTTGTCTGTGAGAGTCTATGTGTTTGGGCCTTTGTGTGTGTATACGTGTGTGTACGTGTGTGTGTATGTGTGTGTCTGTGTGTATGTGTGTGTGTATGTGTCTGTGAGAGTCTATGTATTTGGGTCTTTGTGTGTGTATACGTGTGTGTGTGTGTCTATGTCTGTGTGTCTGTGGTGTGGCAAAACAACCCCCTACCTCCTCGTGGTGCCGGACGGGCAACTCTGTCGTGGACAGTGCTGTGGGGGGAGGGCCAATTCCGATTGGCCTCTCCCCTCATGGCGTCTGTGACCACCACAGTGGCTAAACGGGGGCTCTGGACGGGTGCGAGGGGCTGGTAACCCCTCCACCTTCAAAAATTTACCACTAAACCACGACTTAAATATATAACTAATAAGCTTGTGCCGGAGACCCTGGGGGGACAGGCGTCTATGACGTCTCCTGGCCAAACCCCAATTGGCGGAGCCAGGAGATTGAATCTCTACCCTCGGGGCTCCTCCAGAAACAACGAAAAGCCACTATGTGTGGCCACGTGGAATGTTCGAACGCTCACTGCGGAGGAGAGGCTGCCACTCCTCTGTCGGGAGCTGGACCGGTACCGCCTGGATCTCTGTGGCATTCAGGAGGTCCGGTGGACCGGTTCTGGCTCCTGCCACCACGAGGGGTGGACAGTACTCTACTCGGGGCAGCAGACTGCCAAACAACAGGGTGTGGCTCTTCTTTTGAACAAAAGAATGAGGGTGCGTGGGAGCGTGGCGGTGAGGTGTGGGAAGCTTTAAGCCCCAGGCTACTTTGGGCTCGCCTTCCCATCAACCGGAGGCGAGGATTGGTGGTCGTGGTTACTTATGCCCCCATCGAAGACGAACATCCGTGGAGGGATGCAGGCAAAGCCGATGAGTCAGATGCCTTCTATGACCTCCTGTCACAGGTGCTGGCTAAAGTGGCCCCTCGGGGTAGAGTCATCTTGTTGGGTGACTTCAATGCCCGAGTTGGTCATGATGCTGGCACCTGGTCTGGAGTGATTGGAGGGCATGGGTCAGATCAGCTCAATAACAACAGGAGGCTGCTAGATTTTTGTGCAGCCCATGGGCTTGTAATTACCAACACGCTGTTCCGGCATCGGCGCATCCACATAACATCATGGATGCATGCCGGGTCCAAGTAAGAACATGTTAGACTACATAGTGACGGACCAGCGGATGCGAGCCCATGTCCTTGACACCAGGACCTACCGTGGAGCTGATCTGCCCTCTGACCATCGACTAGTCATCTGTAAGATGCGCCTGCCATTCTTCCACTCCGGTGGTGGGTGTACAACCAGGACCCCATTCCGACCTAAAGTGGCCTGGTCTCAGCTGATGAAAGTTGCAAGCGAGAATTTCATCATCGCTTGCGGCTGGGATTGGCATCGTCCCCGACTCCTCCTGATGTCGAGGGTAAATGGGCGAGGTTTAGGACTGTGACTCATGCAGCTGCAATGGCTGCTTTGGGTACGCGGTCCAGACCTCCCCAGAGACCCTGGCTGACAGAGGAGGTGTTCAGGATGGTTGAGAAAAAGCGACAGGCCCACTGTCATCGGCTACAGAATCCCACGTCAGAGAATGAGGAGGCTTACCGCAGCCTTCGCTCGGAGGTTTGGAGAGCCGTGAGGCACTGCAAGGATGGGTGGTGGTCGCGTGTTGCTGAGGAGATGGAGTCTGCCTCAGTGGCCCGTGATCACAAATCTCTATTTAACGCCATCAAAAAAGTAACCTGCAGCGCCACACCTATTACCATCATTAGGGGAAAAAACGGTGATCCAATCTCCGACCCCCAGGAACAGGTTTGCAGATTTGCTGAGCATTTCTGTGAGGTCCTGGGGGAGGGAAAATCCCTCAGCCAGGAAAACATCGTGGCACAAAGTGAGGATGACCCTGCTGAGGCTGCGGTGCCTCAAATATTGGAAGAAGTCACCCCCTGTGAGTGGCTGGCTGAGGTGCCATCTGTTTAGGAAGTACTGAAGGCGATCCGGAGTCTGAGACCAGGAAAGGCACCGGGCAGAGATGATCTCCCAAGCGAAATGCTGAGGGAGGGTGGCGTTTGTGCACAGACTGCCCTATATGACATCATAACAACAGTCTAGACCACTGGACGGGTTCCGCAGGATTGGAAGGATGCCCTGGTGGTCCCCCTCTTTAAGAAGAGGGACCGCACAGACTGTAACAACTACAGGGGCATCTCACTCCTCAGTGTGCTGGGAAAGGTCCTGGCAAGGATTATTCAACATCGCCTTGCCAGGCACGCTGAGGAGAGGCTTGCGGAGCCCCAATGCGGTTTCAGGAAAGGGCGGTCCTGCACAGATGCCATATTTTCTGTCTGTCTGCTACAGCAGAGGTGTAGGGAATTCCAGCAAGACCTACATATCTGCTTTATTGACCTGGTCAAGGCCTATGATAACATCAGTAGGCCTGGGCTCTGGGTTGTTCTTTGTGCTTTTGGAGTACCTGACCCTCTGCTCACGATCATTAAGGACCTTCATGATGGTGAGCGGGCCCGGATAAAACTACGTGGCCGGGAGTCAGAGCCATTCCCTGTACACCTTGGGGTGCGACAGGGATGTCCTCTGGTTCCCACATTATTTAACATCTATTTTGACCACATAGTTCGTGAAGCCTTCAATAGCTGTACCGGGGGAATCTCCATATGGTACAGATATAATGGGAGGCTGATCGATGCCCAGGTGCGGTCAAGAGTTGGCTCCCTATTGCACAACCACGTTATGTATGCTGATGATTTGGTAATAGCTGCTCAGTCAGAGGAGGAGTTGGAGACGCTGCTGCTGAGACTGGAGCGTGCCACTAAGAGGTGGGGCCTTACCATCAGCCCCACCAAAACTAAGCACCTGCCTGGGTATTTTGTACCATCGGACACTCCACCCCCACAACTCCCAATCGGTGATGGGGCAGTTGTGGAGAGAGTGGAGAGTTTCCCATACCTGGGCAGTGTGCTTATGACTGGCTCCAGTTTAACAGCAGAGGTCTCACTCCGAATCAGTCGAGCGGCAATATCTTTTCATCGGTTGCGTAACGCTGTGTGGAAGCTACCTGGTCTGTCGCTCCCCAATAAGCTTCAGGTCTTCTCGGCCATGGTCATTCCCTCCCTTCTCTACGCTTGCGAAACGTGGACCCCCCTAATGGAACATCTTCGCCGGTTAGAAACATTTAGGCTGGCCTGCCTACGATCCATCCTGGGTTTAACCAGACTGGATTGTGTGAGGAGCTCACAAATCCTTGAAAGATCTGGGCAGGGTTCCATCGGTGAGCTCCTCCGGCGGGCAAGGCTGCGATGGCTGGGTCATGTAGCCCGCATGCCCAGCCACCGCATGCCGAAACAGCTTTTGTTTGGCCGGATTGAGGGGGCTAAGCGGGCGCGGCACGGGCTAGAGAAGAGATGGAGTGATGTGGTACAGGAGGACGTGGAGCTGAGTGGATTTGCCGATGACTGGTACCAGCGGTGTCAAGATCGGCCTCTGTGGAGGAGGCTCGTGAAGGATGCTACTGAGCAGTTGGAGGCAGTCGCCCTCCAACAACAACGGAGGGCGGAGGAGCGACGCTCAGAACAACGAGCGGAGCGCCGGGTGGCTAAAGCACAGCAGGTTGGCACAGTAGGGGGCACAGGTGGTGCATCAGCCAGTCATCTCAGTCAGTCGACCCGTGGCACCTGGGTCTGCCCCGTGACCTCCTGCCAGCGGGCGTTCGACACTTCACGTGGCCTCACGGTGCACATAGCCTGGCACAAGCGTCGTGGTGACGTCACTGCCACTTAGTGGCGAATGGCGGTTGTTGTTGTGTGTCTATGTGTGTGTGTCTGTGTGTGTGTGTCTATGTGTGTGTGCGTGTCTATGTGTCTGTGTGTGTGATGGTACAGATTGTGGGTGTTGATGAGGAGCTCCGCTTCTGCCGCATCTTGAAGCAGCTGCTGGACGACCACAAGGACGTCGTGTTTATGTCTATGTGTGTGTGTGTGTCTATGTGTGTGTGTGTGTCTATGTGTGTGTGTGTGTCTATGTGTGTGTGTGTGTCTATGTGTGTGTGATGGTACAGATTGTGGGTGTTGATGAGGAGCTCCGCTTCTGCCGCATCTTGAAGCAGCTGCTGGACGACCACAAGGACGTCGTGTTTATGTCTATGTGTGTGTGTGTGTCTATGTGTGTGTGTGTGTCTATGTGTGTGTGTGTGTCTATGTGTGTGTGAGGTTCTAGATTGTGGGTGTTGATGAGGAGCTCCGCTTCTGCCGCATCTTGAAGCAGCTGCTGGACGACCACAAGGACGTCGTGTTCATGTCTATGTGTGTGTGTGTGTGTCTATGTGTGTGTGTCTATGTGTGTGTCTATGTGAGTGTGTGTGTCTATGTGTGTGTGTGATGGTACAGATTGTGGGTGTTGATGAGGAGCTCCGCTTCTGCCGCATCTTGAAGCAGCTGCTGGACGACCACAAGGACGTCGTGTTCATGTCTATGTGTGTGTGTGTCTATGTGTGTGTGTGTCTATGTGTGTGTGTGTGTGTCTATGTGTGTGTGAGGTTCTAGATTGTGGGTGTTGACGAGGAGCTCCGCTTCTGCCGCATCTTGAAGCAGCTGCTGGACGACCACAAGGACGTCGTGTTTATATCTATGTGTGTGTGTCTATGTGTGTGTGTCTATGTGTGTGTGTCTATGTGTGTGTCTATGTGAGTGTGTGATGGTTCAGATTGTAGGTGTTGACGAGGAGCTCCGATTCTGCCGCATCTTGAAGCAGCTGCTGGACGACCACAAGGACGTCGTGTTCATGTCTATGTGTGTGTGTGTGTGTCTATGTGTGTGTGTCTATGTGTGTGTCTATGTGAGTGTGTGTGTCTATGTGTGTGTGTGATGGTACAGATTGTGGGTGTTGACGAGGAGCTCCGATTCTGCCGCATCTTGAAGCAGCTGCTGGACGACCACAAGGACGTCGTGACGCAGCTCGCCGAGGGCTTCCGCGAGTGCCGCAAGCACATCCGCGTGAGTCGCTCGCAATCACTCACACGCAACTGGTTGCACGCAACCGGTTGCGTGCGAGCGCTCGCACGCAACGCCGATGGCACGCGGACCGATCGCACGGCAGTGAGGGTGGTGGTGGTGAGCGTGGTGGTGGTGGTGAGCGTGGTGGTGGTGGTGAGCGTGGTGGTGGTGGTGAGCGTGGTGGTGGTGGTGGTGGTGAGCGTGGTGGTGGTGGTGGTGAGCGTGGTGGTGGTGGTGGTGAGCGTGGTGGTGGTGGTGAGCGTGGTTGTGGTGGTGAGCGTGGTGGTGGTGGTGAGCGTGGTGGTGGTGGTGGTGGTGAGCGTGGTGGTGGTGGTGGTGAGCGTGGTGGTGGTGGTGAGCGTGGTGGTGGTGAGCGTGGTGGTGGTGAGCGTGGTGGTGGTGGTGAGCGTGGTGGTGGTGGTGAGCGTGGTGGTGGTAGTGGTGGTGAGCGTGGTGGTGGTGGTGGTGAGCGTGGTGGTGGTGGTGGTGGTGAGCGTGGTGGTGGTGGTGGTGAGCGTGGTGGTGGTGGTGAGCGTGGTGGTGGTGAGCGTGGTGGTGGTGAGGGTAATGGTGGTGAGCGTGGTGGTGGTGATGAGCGTGGTGGTGAGCGTGGTGGTGAGCGTGGTGGTGAGCGTGGTGGTGGTGAGCGTGGTGGTGAGCGTGGTGGTGGTGGTGAGCGTGGTGGTGAGTAGCGGTGGTGCCATTCCCAGGACGAGGCTCTGGTGAGGACGTTTCTAGACAAGACGCTCACCTCCAGACTCGGCATGCGTATGCTGGCTGCTCACCACATTGCCCTGCACGAGGACAAGGTGCTCACCACTCCTCACCACTCACTCACCAACCACTCACTCACCCACTCACTCACCACTCACTCACCCACTCACTCACTCACCACTCCTCACCACTCACTCACCACCCACTCACTCACCCACTCACTCACCACTCACTCACCCACTCACTCACCACTCCTCACCACTCACTCACCACCCACTCACTCACCCACTCACTCACCACTCACTCACCCACTCACTCACTCACCACTCTCACTCACTCACTCACCAACCACTCACTCACCACTCACTCACCACTCTCACTCACCAACCACTCACTCACCCACTCACCACTCACTCACCCACTCACTCACCACTCACTCACTCACCACTCACTCACCCACTCACTCACCCGCTCACTCACCACTCACTCACTCACCCACTCACTCACTCACCACTCACCCACTCATTCACCCACTCACTAACCACTCACTCACTTACTCACCACTCACTCACTCACTCACCATTCACTCACTCACTCACCCACTCACCCATTCACTCACCCACTCCCTCACCACTCACTCACTCACCCACTCACCCACTCACTCACTCACCCACTCACTCACTCACCCACTCCCTCACTCACTCACCACTCACTTACTCACCCACTCACTCACCACTCACTCACCAACCACTCACTCACCACTCACTCACCAACCACTCACTCACCCACCCACCCACCCACTCACTCACTCACTCACCACTCTCACTCACTCACCACTCTCACTCACTATACACTCACTCACTCACCACTCACCCACTCACTCACCACTCACTCACCACTCACCTCCAGACTCGGCATGCGTATGCTGGCTGCTCACCACATTGCCCTGCACGAGGACAAGGTGCTCACCACTCCTCACCACTCACTCACCAACCACTCACTCACCCACTCACCCACCCACCCACTCACCACTCACTCACCACTCACTCACCACTCTCACTCACTATACACTCACTCACCCCTCACTCACTCACTCACCCACTCACCACTCACACTCACCACTCACCCACCCACTCACTCACTCACCCACTCACTCACCACTCACTACACACTCACTCACCACTCACTCACCACTCTCACTCACCACCCTCACTCACCACTCTCACTCACCACTCACTCACCACTCACTCACCACTCACTACACACTCACCACTCACCACTCACTCACCACGCTACTCACCACTCACTCACTACACACTCACTCACTCACCACTCACTCACCACGCTACTCACCACTCACTCACTACACACTCACTCACTCACCACTCACTCACCACTCTCCACTCACCACTCGCACTCACCACTCACTCACCACTCAACCACCAATCACTCACCACTCGCTCACCACTCTCACTCACTCACCACTCTCACTCACCACTCACTCGCCACTCACTCCCCACTCGCCACTCGCTCATCGCTCACCACTCACTACTCACTCACCACTCACTCACTCACCACTCACTCACCACTCAACCACCAATCACTCACCACTCACTCACCACTCTCACTCACCACTCACTCACCACTCACTCACCACTCACTTGCCACTCGCTCATCGCTCACCACTCACTCATCACTCACTCACCACTCACCACTCACTCACTCACCACTCACCCACCACTCACTCACCACTCACTCACTCACCCACTCACTCACTCACCACTCACTCACCACTCTCACTCACTCACCACTCTCACTCACCACTCTCACTCACCACTCACTCACCACTCTCACTCACCACTCACTCACCACACTCACTCACCACTCACTATACACTCACCTACCCACCCACCCACTCACACACTCACTCACTCACCACTCACTCACCCACCCACTCACTCACTCACTCACCCACTTACCCACTCACCCACTCACCACTCACTCACCCACTCACTCACCCACCCACTCACCCACCCACTCACTCATCACTCACCCACCCAACCACTCACTCACCCACTCACCACTCACTCATCCACTCACTCACCCACCCACTCACTCACTCACTCACCCACTCACTCACTCACCACTCACTATACACTCACCTACCCACCCACTCACTCACTCACTCACCCACCCAACCACTCACTCACCCACTCACCACTCACTCACCACACTCACTCACTCACCACTCACTATACACTCACCTACCCACCCACTCACTCACCCACCCACTCACCCACTCACTCACTCACCACTCACTCACCCACTCACCCACTCACTCACCCACCCACTCACCCACCCACTCACTCACCACTCACCCACCCAACCACTCACTCACCCACTCACCACTCACTCACCCACTCACTCACCCACCCACTCACTCACTCACTCACCCACTCACCCACTCACCCACTCACCACTCACTCACCCACTCACCCACTCACCCACCCACCCACCCACTCACCCACCCACCCACTCACTCACTCACCCACTCACTCACTCACTCACCCACCCAACCACTCACCCACTCACTCACTCACTCACCCACCCAACCACTCACTCACCCACTCACCACTCACCCACTCACCACCCACCCACTCACCACCCACCCACTCACCCACCCACCCACTCACTCACCCACTCACTCACCCACTCACTCACTCACTCACCCACTCACTCACCCACTCAACCACTCACTCACTCACTCACCCACCCACTCACCCACTCACCCACTCACCCACCCACTCACTCACCACTCACTCACTCACCACTCACCCACTCACCCACCCACTCACTCACCCACTCACCCACCCACTCACTCACCCACTCACCCACTCACCCACCCACCCACCCACTCACCCACTCATCCATCCACCCACTCACCCACCCACTCACACTCACCACTCACCCACCCACTCACCCACTCACCCACCCACCCACCCACTCACTCACCCACCCACCCACCCACTCACCCACTCACCCACCCACCCATCCACCCACTCACTCACCCACCCACCCATCCACCCACTCACTCACCCACCCACCCACCCACTCACCCACTCACCCACCTACCCACCCACTCACCCACTCACCCACTCACTCACCCACTCACCCACCCACTCACTCACCCACCCACTCACCCACTCACCCACCCACCCACTCACTCACCCACTCACCCACTCACTCACCCACTCACCCACTCACTCACCCACTCACCCACCCACTCACCCACCCACCCACTCACTCACCCACTCACCCACTCACTCACCCACTCACCCACTCACTCACCCACTCACCCACCCACTCACCCACCCACCCACCCACTCACCCACTCACCCACTCACCCACCCACCCACCCACTCACCCACTCACCCACCCACTCACCCTCTCACCCACCCACCCACTCACCCACTCACCCACTCACCCCCCTGTATCTCCCCCACGACAGCCCCACTTTGTGGGCATCATCTGCACCCAGCTCTCCCCACTCTCACTCACCACTCACTCACCACTCACTCACCCACCCACCACTCACTCACTCACCCACTCACTCACTCACCACCCACTCACCCACTCACCCACCCACTCACCCACTCATCCACCCACTCACCCACTCACCCACCCACCCACCCACTCACCCACCCACCCACCCACTCACCCACCACTCACCCACTCACCCACCCACTCACCCACCCACTCACCCACTCACCCACTCACCCACCCACTCACCCACTCACCACCCACTCACCCCCCTGTATCTCCCCCACGACAGCCCCACTTTGTGGGCATCATCTGCACCCAGCTCTCCCCACTCTCACTCACCACTCACTCACCACTCACTCACCCACCCACCCACCACTCACTCACTCACCCACTCACTCACTCACTCACCACCCACTCACCCACTCACCCACCCACTCACCCACTCATCCACCCACTCACCCACTCACCCACCCACCCACCCACTCACCCACCCACCCACCCACTCACCCACCACTCACCCACTCACCCACCCACTCACCCACCCACTCACCCACTCACCCACTCACCCACCCACCCACCCACTCACCCACCCACCCACCCATTCACCCACCACTCACCCACTCACCCACCCACTCACCCACTCACCCCCCTGTATCTCCCCCACGACAGCCCCACTTTGTGGGCATCATCTGCACCCAGCTCTCCCCACTCTCACTCACCACTCACTCACCCACCCACCCACCCACTCACCCACCCACCCACCCACTCACCCACCCACTCACCCACCCACCCACCCACTCACCCACTCACCACCCACTCACCACTCACTCACCCCCCTGTATCTCCCCCACGACAGCCCCACTTTGTGGGCATCATCTGCACCCAGCTCTCCCCACGCCGCTCTGTGGAGCGTTGGGTCGACTTCTCCCGCCGGGTGTGCGAGCACAAATACGGTGCCGCTCCTCTGGTGCGCGTCAACGGTCACGTGGCAGTGAGGTTCCCCTACCTGGCCACGCCGCTAGACTACATCCTGCCTGAGCTGCTCAAGAACGCCATGCGGTGGGTGGGTGGGTGAGTGGGGGGGTGGGTGAGTGAGTGAGTGGGTGAGTGAGTGGGTGGGTGAGTGGGTGGGTGAGTGAGTGGGTGGGTGAGTGGGTGGGTGGGTGAGTGAGTGAGTGGGTGGGTGAGTGAGTGAGTGGGTGAGTGAGTGGGTGAGTGAGTGGGTGGGTGAGTGGGTGGGTGGGTGAGTGGGTGGGTGGGTGAGTGGGTGAGTGAGTGAGTGGGTGGGTGAGTGGGTGGGTGGGTGAGTGAGTGAGTGGGTGGGTGAGTGAGTGAGTGGGTGAGTGAGTGGGTGAGTGAGTGGGTGGGTGAGTGGGTGGGTGGGTGAGTGGGTGGGTGGGTGAGTGGGTGAGTGAGTGGGTGGGGGGGGTGGGTGAGTGAGTGGGTGGGTGGGTGAGTGAGTGGGTGGGTGGGTGAGTGAGTGGGTGGGTGAGTGGGTGGGTGGGTGGGTGAGTGAGTGGGGGAGTGAGTGGGTGGGTGAGTGGGTGAGTGGGTGAGTGGGTGGGTGGGTGGGTGAGTGGGTGGGTGGGTGGGTGGGTGAGTGAGTGAGTGAGTGTGTGGGTGGGTGGGTGGGTAGTGGGTGAGTGGGTGGGTAGTGGGTGAGTGTGTGGGTGAGTGGGTGGGTGAGTCGGTGAGTGGGTGAGTGAGTGAGTGGGTGAGTGAGTGGGTGGGTGAGTGGGTGAGTGGGTGAGTGAGTGGGTGGGTGGGTGAGTGAGTGAGTGAGTGGGTGAGTGGGTGAGTGGGTGGGTGAGTGGGTGAGTGGGTGAGTGAGTGAGTGAGTGGGTGGGTGAGTGGGTGAGTGAGTGAGTGGGTGGGTGGGTGAGTGGGTGGGTGGGTGGGTGAGTGAGTGGGGGAGTGAGTGGGTGAGTGGGTGAGTGGGTGGGTGAGTGGGTGGGTGACTGAGTGACTGAGTGAGATTCCCCTCCGGGGCATCTCACTTGACTACATCCTGACGTGTCTCTCTCTGTGTCTGTGTCCGTGTCTCTCTGTGTCTGTGTCTCTCTGTGTCCGTGTCTCTGTGTCCGTGTCTCTCTGTCCTTGTCCGTGTCTCTCTATGTCCGTGTCTCTCTCTGTGTCCGTGTCTCTCTGTGTCCGTGTCTCTCTGTGTCCGTGTCTCTCTCTCTGTGTCTGTGTCTTTCTCTGTGTCAATGTCTCTCTCTGTGTCCGTGTCTCTCTGTGTCCGTGTCTCTCTCTCTCTCTATCCGTGTCTCTCTCTGTGTCTGTGTCTCTCTGTGTCCGTGTCTCTGTGTCCGTGTCTCTCTGTGTCCGTGTCTCTCTCTGTGTCTGTATCCGTGTCTCTCTGTGTCTGTGTCTCTCTGTCCGTGTCTCTCTCTGTGTCCGTGTCTCTCTCTGTGTCTGTGTCTCTCTCTGTGTCGCTCTCTCTCTGTCCGTGTCTCTCTGTATCCGTGTCTCTCTCTGTGTCTGTGTCCGTGTCTCTGTGTCCGTGTCTCTCTGTGTCCGTGTCTCTCTCTGTGTCTGTATCTCTCTCTGTGTCGCTCTCTCTCTCTCTGTCCGCGTCTCTCTGTATCCGTGTCTCTCTCTGTGTCTGTGTCCGTGTCTCTCTGTCCTTGTCCGTGTCTCCAGGGCCACGATGGAGTCCCACCTGGACTCTCCCTACAACGTGCCGGACGTTGTGGTCACCATCGCCAACAACCCCAGAGACTTCATCATCCGGTACACCACGTGACTACCACGTGACTACCACACTCTGTAGGGTCTCAGATACACACACTACACCACGTGACTAGCACACTGTGTGTAGGGTCTCAGATACACACACTACACCACGTGACTATCACACACTGTGTGTAGGGTCTCAGATACACACACTACACCACGTGACTATCACACTGTGTAGGGTCTCAGATACACACACTACACCACGTGACTATCACACACTGTGTGTAGGGTCTCAGATACACACACTACACCACGTGACTACCACACTCTGTAGGGTCTCAGATACACACACTACACCACGTGACTACCACACTGTAGGGTCTCAGATACACACACTACACCACGTGACTACCACACTGTGTGTAGGGTCTCAGATACACACACTACACCACGTGACTACCACACTGTGTGTAGGGTCTCAGATACACACACTACACCACGTGACTACCACACTGTGTGTAGGGTCTCAGATAAACACACTACACCACGTGACTACCACACACTCTGTAGGGTCTCAGATACACACACTACACCACGTGACTACCACACTGTGTGTAGGGTCTCAGATACACAAACTACACCACGTGACTACCACACTCTGTAGGGTCTCAGATACACACACTACACCACGTGACTACCACACTGTGTGTGTAGGGTCTCAGATACACACACTACACGACGTGACTACCACACTGTGTGTAGGGTCTCAGATACACACACTACACCACGTGACTACCACACTGTGTGTAGGGTCTCAGATACACACACTACACCACGTGACTACCACACACTCTGTAGGGTCTCAGATACACACACTACACCACGTGACTACCACACTCTGTAGGGTCTCAGATACACACACTACACCACGTGACTATCACACACTCTGTAGGGTCTCAGATACACACACTACACCACGTGACTACCACACTGTGTGTGTAGGGTCTCAGATACACACACTACACGACGTGACTACCACACTGTGTGTAGGGTCTCAGATACACACACTACACCACGTGACTACCACACTGTGTGTAGAGTCTCAGATACACACACTACACCACGTGACTACCACACACTCTGTAGGGTCTCAGATACACACACTACACCACGTGACTACCACACTGTGTGTAAGGTCTCAGATACAGACACTACACCACGTGACTATCACACTGTGTGTAGGGTCTCAGATACACACACTACACCACGTGACTACCACACTGTGTGTAGGGTCTCAGATACACACACTACACCACGTGACTACCACACTGTGTGTAGGGTCTCAGATACACACACTACACCACGTGACTACCACACACTCTGTAGGGTCTCAGATACACACACTACACCACGTGACTACCACACTCTGTAGGGTCTCAGATACACACACTACACCACGTGACTATCACACACTCTGTAGGGTCTCAGATACACACACTACACCACGTGACTACCACACTCTGTGTAGGGTCTCAGATACACACACTACACCACGTGACTATCACACTGTGTGTAGGGTCTCAGACACACACACTACACCACGTGACTACCACACACTCTGTAGGGTCTCAGATACACACACTACACCACGTGACTACCACACTGTGTGTAGGGTCTCAGATACACACACTACACCACGTGACTACCACACTGTGTGTAGGGTCTCAGATACACACACTACACCACGTGACTACCACACACTCTGTAGGGTCTCAGATACACACACTACACCACGTGACTACCACACTGTGTGTAGGGTCTCAGATACAGACACTACACCACGTGACTATCACACTGTGTGTAGGGTCTCAGATACACACACTACACCACGTGACTACCACACTGTGTGTAGGGTCTCAGATACACACACTACACCACGTGACTACCACACTGTGTGTAGGGTCTCAGATACACACACTACACCACGTGACTACCACGTGACTACCACACTGTGTAGGGTCTCAGATACACACACTACACCACGTGACTATCACACTGTGTGTAGGGTCTCAGATACACACACTACACCACGTGACTACCACACTCTGTAGGGTCTCAGATACACACACTACTACACCACGTGACTACCACACTCTGTAGGGTCTCAGATACACACACTACACCACGTGACTACCACACTGTGTGTAGGGTCTCAGATACACACACTACACCACGTGACTACCACTCTGTGTAGGGTCACAGATACACACACTACACCACGTGACTATCACACTGTGTGTAGGGTCTCAGATACACACACTACACCACGTGACTACCACACACTCTGTAGGGTCTCAGATACACACACTACACCACGTGACTACCACACTCTGTAGGGTCTCAGATACACACACTACACCACGTGACTACCACACTCTGTAGGGTCTCAGATACACACACTACACCACGTGACTACCACACTCTGTGTAGGGTCACAGATACACACACTACACCACGTGACTACCACACTCTGTGTAGGGTCTCAGATACACACACTACACCACGTGACTATCACACTGTGTGTAGGGTCTCAGACACACACACTACACCACGTGACTACCACACACTCTGTAGTGTCTCAGATACACACACTACACCACGTGACTACCACACTGTGTGTAGGGTCTCAGATACACACACTACACCACGTGACTACCACACTGTGTGTAGGGTCTCAGATACACACACTACACCACGTGACTACCACACACTCTGTAGGGTCTCAGATACACACACTACACCACGTGACTACCACACTGTGTGTAGGGTCTCAGATACACACACTACACCACGTGACTATCACACTGTGTGTAGGGTCTCAGATACACACACTACACCACGTGACTACCACACTGTGTGTAGGGTCTCAGATACACACACTACACCACGTGACTACCACACTGTGTAGGGTCTCAGATACACACACTACACCACGTGACTATCACACTGTGTGTAGGGTCTCAGATACACACACTACACCACGTGACTACCACACTGTGTGTAGGGTCACAGATACACACACTACACCACGTGACTACCACACACTCTGTAGGGTCTCAGATACACACACTACACCACGTGACTACCACACTGTGTGTAGGGTCTCAGATACACACACTACACCACGTGACTACCACACTGTGTAAGATCTCAGATACACACACTACACCACGTGACTACCACACTGTGTGTAGGGTCTCAGATACACACACTACACCACGTGACTACCACACACTCTGTAGGGTCACAGATACACACACTACACCACGTGACTACCACACTGTGTGTAGGGTCTCAGATACACACACTACACCACGTGACTATCACACTGTGTGTGTAGGGTCTCAGATACACACACTACACCACGTGACTATCACACACTCTGTAGGGTCTCAGATACACACACTACACCACGTGACTACCACACTGTGTAAGATCTCAGATACACACACTACACCACGTGACTACCACACTCTGTAGGGTCTCAGATACACACACTACACCACGTGACTACCACACTCTGTGTAGGGTCACAGATACACACACTACACCACGTGACTACCACACTCTGTAGGGTCTCAGATACACACACTACACCACGTGACTACCACACACTCTGTAGGGTCACAGATACACACACTACACCACGTGACTACCACACTGTGTGTAGGGTCTCAGATACACACACTACACCACGTGACTATCACACTGTGTGTGTAGGGTCTCAGATACACACACTACACCACGTGACTATCACACACTGTGTAGGTCTCAGATACACACACTACACCACGTGACTACCACACTGTGTAGGTCTCAGATACACACACTACACCACGTGACTACCACATTGTGTGTAGGGTCTCAGATACACACACTACACCACGTGACTACCACACTGTGTGTAGGGTCTCAGATACACACACTACACCATGTGACTACCACACTGTGTGTAGGGTCTCAGATACACACACTACACCACGTGACTATCACACTGTGTATGTAGGGTCTCAGATACACACAATACACCACGTGACTATCACACACTCTGTAGGGTCTCAGATACACACACTACACCACGTGACTACCACACTGTGTGTAGGGTCTCAGATACACACACTACACCACGTGACTACCACACTGTGTGTAGGGTCTCAGATACACACACTACACCACGTGACTATCACACACTGTGTAGGGTCTCAGATACACACACTACACCACGTGACTATCACACTGTGTGTAGGGTCTCAGATACACACACTACACCACGTGACTATCACACTGTGTAGGGTCTCAGATACACACACTACACCACGTGACTACCACACTGTGTGTAGGGTCTCAGATACACACACTACACCACGTGACTACCACACTGTGTGTAGGGTCTCAGATACACACACTACACCACGTGACTATCACACTGTGTGTGTAGGGTCTCAGATACACACACTACACCACGTGACTACCACACTGTGTGTAGGGTCACAGATACACACACTACACCACGTGACTACCACACTTTGTGTAGGGTCACAGATACACACACTACACCACGTGACTATCACACTCTGTAGGGTCTCAGATACACACACTACACCACGTGACTACCACGTGACTACCACACTGTGTGTAGGGTCTCAGATACACACACTACACCACGTGACTACCACACTCTGTGTAGGGTCTCAGATACACACACTACACCACGTGACTACCACACTCTGTGTGTAGGGTCTCAGATACACACACTACACCACGTGACTACCACACTCTGTAGGGTCTCAGATACACACACTACACCACGTGACTACCACACTGTGTGTAGGGTCTCAGATACACACACTACACCACGTGACTACCACACTGTGTGTAGGGTCTCAGATACACACACTACACCACGTGACTACCACTCTGGGTAGGGTCTCAGATACACACACTACACCACGTGACTACCACTCTGTGTAGGGTCTCAGATACACACACTACACCACGTGACTACCACTCTGTGTAGGGTCACAGATACACACACTACACCACGTGACTACCACACTGTGTGTAGGGTCTCAGATACACACACTACACCACGTGACTACCACACTGTGTGTGTAGGGTCACAGATACACACACTACACCACGTGACTACCACACTCTGTAGGGTCTCAGATACACACACTACACCACGTGACTACCACACTGTGTGTAGGGTCTCAGATACACACACTACACCACGTGACTACCACACTGTGTGTAGGGTCTCAGATACACACACTACACCACGTGACTACCACACTCTGTAGGGTCTCAGATACACACACTACACCACGTGACTACCACACTTTGTGTAGGGTCTCAGATACACACACTACACCACGTGACTACCACACTGTGTGTAGGGTGTCAGATACACACACTACACCACGTGACTACCACACTGTGTGTAGGGTCTCAGATATACACACTACACCACGTGACTATCACACTGTGTAGGGTCTCAGATACACACACTACACCACGTGACTACCACACTGTGTGTAGGGTCTCAGATACACACACTACACCACGTGACTATCACACACTGTGTAGGGTCTCAGATACACACACTAAACCACGTGACTACCACACTCTGTAGGGTCACAGATACACACACTACACCACGTGACTATCACACACTGTGTAGGGTCTCAGATACACACACTACACCACGTGACTATCACACTGTGTGTAGGGTCTCAGATACACACACTACACCACGTGACTATCACACTGTGTAGGGTCTCAGATACACACACTACACCACGTGACTACCACACTGTGTGTAGGGTCTCAGATACACACACTACACCACGTGACTACCACACTGTGTGTAGGGTCTCAGATACACACACTACACCACGTGACTATCACACTGTGTGTGTAGGGTCTCAGATACACACACTACACCACGTGACTACCACACTGTGTGTAGGGTCACAGATACACACACTACACCACGTGACTACCACACTTTGTGTAGGGTCACAGATACACACACTACACCACGTGACTATCACACTCTGTAGGGTCTCAGATACACACACTACACCACGTGACTACCACGTGACTACCACACTGTGTGTAGGGTCTCAGATACACACACTACACCACGTGACTACCACACTCTGTGTAGGGTCTCAGATACACACACTACACCACGTGACTACCACACTCTGTGTGTAGGGTCTCAGATACACACACTACACCACGTGACTACCACACTCTGTAGGGTCTCAGATACACACACTACACCACGTGACTACCACACTGTGTGTAGGGTCTCAGATACACACACTACACCACGTGACTACCACACTGTGTGTAGGGTCTCAGATACACACACTACACCACGTGACTACCACTCTGTGTAGGGTCTCAGATACACACACTACACCACGTGACTACCACTCTGTGTAGGGTCTCAGATACACACACTACACCACGTGACTACCACTCTGTGTAGGGTCACAGATACACACACTACACCACGTGACTACCACACTGTGTGTAGGGTCTCAGATACACACACTACACCACGTGACTATCACACTGTGTGTGTAGGGTCTCAGATACACACACTACACCACGTGACTACCACTCTGTGTAGGGTCTCAGATACACACACTACACCACGTGACTACCACACTGTGTGTAGGGTCTCAGATACACACACTACACCACGTGACTACCACACTGTGTGTGTAGGGTCTCAGATACACACACTACACCACGTGACTACCACACTGTGTGTAGGGTGTCAGATACACACACTACACCACGTGACTACCACACTGTGTGTAGGGTCTCAGATACACACACTACACCACGTGACTACCACACTGTGTGTAGGGTCTCAGATACACACACTACACCACGTGACTACCACACTGTGTGTGTAGGGTCTCAGATACACACACTAAACCACGTGACTACCACACTGTGTGTAGGGTCTTAGATACACACACTACACCACGTGACTACCACACACTGTGTAGGGTCTCAGATACACACACTACACCACGTGACTACCACACTGTGTGTAGGGTCTCAGATACACACACTACACCACGTGACTCCCTCACTGTGTGTGTAGGGTCTCAGATACACACACTACACCACGTGACTACCACACTGTGTGTAGGGTCTCAGATACACACACTACACCACGTGACTATCACACTGTGTGTAGGGTCACAGATACACACACTACACCACGTGACTCCCTCACTGTGTGTGTAGGGTCTCAGATACACACACTACACCACGTGACTCCCTCACTGTGTGTGTAGGGTCTCCGACAGAGGTGGAGGGATCCCTCACGATATCGAGCGGAGGGTCATGGACTATCACTTCTCCACGGCCGAGAACAGTGCCCAGGACCCGCGGCTCAGCGGTTTGCTGGACAACATGATGGACGTCGCCAACAACTCGCAGTCCGGGCCGATGCACGGGTACACACACACGCACACGCGCACACACACACACACGCACACTTGTACACACACACACACGTGTACGCACGCACACACGCACGTACACACGCACACACGCACGCACACACGCACGCACACACGGGTACGCACACACACACACGGGTCCGCATGCACACACACACACGCACACACACGTGTACGCACACACACACACGGGTACACACGCACACACACACACACATGTGTACACACACACACGGGTACGCACGCACGCACGCACACACGTGTACACACACACACACACGGGTACGCACGCACACACGCACACACATGTGTACACACGCGCACACACACACACACGCATGCACACACGGGTACACACACAAACGCACACACACACACACGGGTACACACACACACAAACGCACACACACACACACGGGTACGCACACACACACACACGCACACACGCACGCACACACGGGTACACACACACACAAACGCACACACACACACACGGGTACACACACACACAAACGCACACACACACACACGGGTACACACACACACAAACGCACACACGCACACGCGGGTACGCCCACACACACACGCGCACACACACGGGTAAGCATGTGTCCCTACTATGTGTGTGTACCTACTGTGTGTGTGTGTGTGTACCTACTGTGTGTGTGTACCTACTGTGTGTGTGTGTGTGTGTCCCTACTATGTGTGTGTGTGTACCTACTGTGTGTGTCCCTACTATGTGTGTGTGTGTACCTACTGTGTGTGTGTGTGTACCTACTGTGTGTGTACCTACTGTGTGTGTGTGTACCTACTGTGTGTGTATCTGTGTGTGTGTGTATCTGTGTGTGTATCTGTGTGTATCTGTGTGTGTACCTACTGTGTATCGTGTGTGTATCTGTGTGTGTGTATCTATGTGTGTGTGTATCTGTGTGTGTGTGTGTGTATCTGTGTGTGTGTGTATCTGTGTGTGTGTGTATCTGTGTGTGTGTATCTGTGTATCTGTGTGTGTATCTGTGTGTGTATCTGTGTGTGTGTGTCTGTGTATCTGTGTGTGTATCTGTGTATCTGTGTGTATCTGTGCGTGTATCTGTGCGTGTATCTGTGTGCGTATCTGTGTGTGTGTGTGTGTCTGTGTATCTGTGTGTGTATCTGTGTGTATCTGTGTGTGTACCTACTGTATGTGTATCTGTGTGTGTATCTGTGTGTGTATCTGTGTGTGTATCTGTGTGTGTGTATCTGTGTGTCTGTGTGTGTACCTACTGTGTGTGTATCTGTGTGTGTATCTGTGTATCTGTGTGTGTGTATCTGTGTCTGTGTACCTACTGTGTGTGTATCTATGTGTGTGTATCTGTGTCTGTGTACCTACTGTGTGTGTGTGTATCTGTGTATGTGTACCTGCTGTGTGTGTATCTGTTGTGTGTGTGTACCTGCTGTGTGTGTATCTGTTGTGTGTGTGTACCTGCTGTGTGTGTGTACCTGCTGTGTGTGTGTCTGTGTGTGTGTACCTACTGTGTGTGTGTACCTACTGTGTGTGTATCTGTTGTGTCTGTGTACCTACAGTGTGTGTATCTATGTGTGTGTATCTGTGTATGTGTACCTGCTGTGTGTGTGGTGACCTTGTGTGTACCTACTGTGTGTGTGTACCTGCTGTGTGTGTGTACCTACTGTGTGTGTGTACCTACTGTGTGTGTGTCTGTGTGTGTGTACCTGCTGTGTATGTGTACCTGCTGTATGTGTACCTGCTGTGTGTGTGTACCTGCTGTGTGTGTGTACCTGCTGTGTCTGTGTACCTACTGTGTGTGTGTACCTGCTGTGTGTGTGTACCTGCTGTGTGTGTGTACCTGCTGTGTGTACCTGCTGTATGTGTACCTACTGTGTGTGTGTCTGTGTGTGTGTGTACCTACTGTGTGTACCTACTGTGTGTGTATCTATGTGTGTCGATCTGTGTCTGTGTACCTGCTGTGTGTGTGGTGACTGTGTGTGTGTACCTACTGTGTGTGTGTGTACCTACTGTGTGTGTGTACCTACTGTGTGTGTGTACCTACTGTGTGTGTGTACCTACTGTGTGTGTATCTGTGTGTGTGTACCTACTGTGTGTGTGTGTGTACCTACTGTGTGTGTGTACCTACTGTGTGTGTGTACCTACTGTGTGTGTGTACCTACTGTGTGTGTACCTACTGTGTGTGTGTACCTACTGTGTGTGTGTCTGTGTGTGTGTACCTACTGTGTGTGTGTACCTACTGTGTGTGTGTACCTACTGTGTGTGTGTACCTACTGTGTGTGTGTACCTACTGTGTGTGTGTCTGTGTGTGTGTACCTGCTGTGTGTGTGTACCTACTGTGTGTGTGTACCTACTGTGTGTGTGTGTACCTACTGTGTGTGTGTACCTACTGTGTGTGTGTACCTGCTGTGTGTGTGTACCTACTGTGTGTGTGTACCTACTGTGTGTGTGTACCTACTGTGTGTGTGTCTGTGTGTGTGTACCTACTGTGTGTGTGTACCTACTGTGTGTGTGTGTCTGTGTGTGTGTACCTACTGTGTGTGTGTACCTACTGTGTATGTGTACCTGCTGTATGTGTGTACCTACTGTGTGTGTGTACCTACTGTGTGTGTGTACCTACTGTGTGTGTGTACCTACTGTGTGTGTACCTACTGTGTGTGTGTACCTACTGTGTGTGTGTACCTACTGTGTGTGTGTGTACCTACTGTGTGTGTGTGTATCTGTGTATGTGTACCTACTGTGTGTGTGTACCTACTGTGTGTGTGTACCTACTGTGTGTGTGTACCTGCTGTGTGTGCAGGTTTGGCTTTGGGCTGCCCACGTCTCGAGCCTACGCCGAGTATCTGGGCGGCTCGCTGGCTGTGCAGGCCATGCAGGGCATCGGCACCGATGTCTACCTGCGGCTGCGTCATATCGACGGGCAGGCCGAGAGCTTCCGCATTTAGACACACGAGTACTCGCTCACGTACTCGTTCGCTCGCTCGCTCACGTACTCGCTTACGTACTCGCTCGCTCGCTCGCTCGCTCGCTCACGTACTCGTTCGCTCGCTCACGTACTCGCTCGCTCACTCGCTCGCTCATGTACTCACGCGCTCGCTCGCTCACGTACTCACTCGCTCGCTCACGTACTCGCTCGCTCGCTCACGTACTCGCTCGCTCGCTCACATACTCACTCACGTACTCGCTCGCTCACTCACTCACGTACTCACTCGCTCGCTCACTCGCTCACGTACTCGCTCACGTACTCACTCACTCACGTACTCACTCACTCACGTACTCGCTCGCTCGCTCACATACTCGCTCACGTACTCACTCGCTCGCTCACTCACTCACGTACTCACTCACGTACTCACTCACTCACGTACTCACTCGCTCGCTCACTCACTCACGTACTCAATCGCTCGCTCACTCACTCGCTCACTGACATACTCACTCACGTGCTCACTCACTCCCTCACCTACTCACTCGCTCACCTACTCACTCACACGTACAAAGACAAAGATCCCCTGTATAGCCTGTAACAGACTGTAGGGGCAAGTGCTGTTAGCGAGCACTTGCCCCAGCAGTCTGTCACTGGCTATACGGAGAGAGTGTCTTTGTGTGACGCTGTTGGCTCACGAACACTTGCCCCAGCAGTCTGTTACTGGCTATACACAGAGTGTCTTTGTGTGTGTAGTGAGTAGACGCTGTTGGCTCACCAACACTTGCCCCAGCAGTCTGTTACTGGCTATACACAGAGTGTCTTTGCGTGAGTAGTGAGTAGACGCTGCTCGCTCACCAACACTTGCCCCAGCAGTCTGTCACAGGCTCTATGGAGAGAGTCTTTGTGTGTGTGTGTGTGTGCTAGTACCTTGTAGGTGCTGCTCGCTCACCAACACTTGCCCCAGCAGTCTGTTACTGGCTATACACAGAGTGTCTTTGTGTGTGTGTGTGCGTGAGTAGACGCTGTTGGCTCACCAACACTTGCCCCAGCAGTCTGTCACTGGCTCTACGGAGAGAGTCTTTGTGTCTGTGCTAGTACCTTGTAGGTGCTGCTCGCTCACCAACACTTGCCCCAGCAGTCTGTTACTGGCTATACGGAGAGAGGGTTTTTGCGTGTGCGTGAGTAGTGAGTAGACGCTGTTGGCTCACCAACACTTGCCCCAGCAGTCTGTCACAGGCTATATGGAGGGTGTCTTTGTGTGAGTAGTGAGTAGACGCTGTTGGCTCACCAACACTTGCCCCAGCAGTCTGTTACTGGCTATACGGAGAGTGTCTTTGTGTGTGTGTGCGCTAGTACCTTGTAGGTGCTGCTCGCTCACCAACACTTGCCCCAGCAGTCTGTTACTGGCTATATGGAGGGTGTCTTTGTGTGTGTAGTGAGTAGACGCTGTTGGCTCGCCAACACTTGCCCCAGCAGTCTGTTACTGGCTTTACGGAGAGAGTCTTTGCGTGAGTAGTGAGTAGACGCTGTTGGCTCACCAACACTTGCCCCAGCAGTCTGTCACTGGCTATACACAGAGTGTCTTTGTGTGTGTGTGTAGTGAGTAGACGCTGTTGGCTCACCAACACTTGCCCCAGCAGTCTGTCACTGGCTCTATGGAGAGAGTCTTTGTGTGAGTAGTGAGTAAACGCTGTTGGCTCACCAACACTTGCCCCAGCAGTCTGTTACTGGCTATATGGAGAGAGTCTTTGCGTGTGCGTGTGCGCTAGTACCTTGTAGACGCTGTTGGCTCACCAACACTTGCCCCGGAAGTCTGTTACTGGCTATACGCAGAGTGTCTGTGTGTGTGTGTGTGCGCTAGTACCTTGTTGTAGGTGCTGCTCGTTCACCAACACTTGCCCCAGCAGCCTGTCACTGGCCGTACGGGGAGAGAGAGGTTTTTTTTTTGCGCTGGGCTCGTACCTTGTTGTAGACGCTGCTGTGCTCACCAACACTTGCCCCAGCAGTCTGTCACAGGCTATACACAGAGTGTCTTTGTGTGTGTGTGTGCTAGTACCTTGTAGACACTGTTGGCTCACCAACACTTGCCCCAGCAGCCTGTCACAGGCTATACGGAGAGAGTCTTTGTGTGTGTGTGTGAGTAGTGAGTAGACGCTGTTGGCTCACCAACACTTGCCCCAGCAGCCTGTCACTGGCCATACGGAGAGAGAGAGTTTTTTTTTTGCGCTGGGCTCGTACCTTGTTGTAGACGCTGCTGTGCTCACCAACACTTGCCCCAGCAGCCTGTCACAGGCTATATGGAGGGTGTCTTTGTGTGTGTAGTGAGTAGACGCTGTTGGCTCACCAACACTTGCCCCAGCAGTCTGTCACTGGCCGTACGGAGAGAGAGAGGTTTTTTTTTTGCGCTGGGCTCGTACCTTGTTGTAGACGCTGCTCTGCTCACGAGCACTTGCCCCAGCAGCCCGCGGGGACTCGCACTTTCTCCCCGCAACCTCCGGTTAGCGTCGGCTGGCTGTGTGCGGTTCGCTAAAAGCAAGTCCAGCGGCCTGACGTCGTTCCCGGCCCCCCGTTGCCGCTGCCGCCCCCCCGTTGTTGCCGCCCCCCCCGCCCGCGCGTCTGATTCGCTCGCAGCCGAAGTGAACCGTGTCGATGTTTCTGCCGCCCACAACGCTGAGCAAGCTCTTGAGTGGCGCTCCGTTTCTGGGTGTGCGGGGGGGGGCGGGGAAAGTCGTCGGCAGAGGTTGGCGGTCCGGCCAAAGTGGCTGATGGTGTCGTCGTCGTCATCGTCGTCGTCATCGTCATCATTGTCGTCATCGTCATCATCATTGTCGTCATCGTCGTCATCATTGTCGTCATCGTCGTCATCGTCATCATTGTCGTCATCGTCGTCATCGTCATCATCATTGTCATCGTTATCATCATTGTCGTCATCGTCGTCGTCATCGTCATCATTGTCGTCATCGTCGTCATCGTCATCATCATTGTCATCGTTATCATCATTGTCGTCATCGTCGTCGTCATCGTCATCATTGTCGTCATCGTCATCATCATTGTCGTCATCGTCGTCATCATTGTCGTCATCATTGTCGTCATCGTCATCATTGTCGTCATCGTCGTCATCGTCATCATCATTGTCGTCATCGTTATCATCATTGTCGTCATCGTCGTCATCGTCATCATCATTGTCGTCATCGTCGTCATCGTCATCATCATTGTCATCATCGTCATCATCGTCGTCATCGTCAGCGTCGTCGTCGTTATTGTCGTCGTCATCGTCATCATTGTCGTCATCGTCGTCATCGTCGTCATCATTGTCGTCATCGTCGTCATCGTCATCATCATTGTCGTCATCGTCGTCATCGTCATCATCATTGTCGTCATCGTCATCGTCGTCATCGTCGTCATCGTCAGCGTCGTCGTCGTTATTGTCGTCGTCATCGTCATCATTGTCGTCATCGTCGTCATCGTCGTCATCGTCATCGTCGTCATCGTCATTGTCGTCATCGTCGTCATCGTCGCCATCGTAGTAGTGCAGAGACCCATAGAGATGCAGAGAGATCCAGAGTCCATACAGACCCACAGAGACCCACAGAGACCCACAGAGACCCACACAGACCCATAGAGACCAATACAGACCCACAGAGACCCAGACAGACCCATAGAGACCCACAGCGACCCATAGAGACCCACAGAGACCCACAGACCCATAGAGACCCACACAAACCCACAGAGACCCATAGAGACCCACACAAACCCATAGAGACCCACACAGACCCACAGAGACCCATACAGACCCATAGAGACCCACACAGACCCATAGAGACCCACACAAACCCATAGAGACCCACACAAACCCGCAGAGACCCATAGAGACCCACAGAGACCCACACAAACCCATAGAGAGACCCATACAGACCCACAGAGACCCATACAGACCCACAGAGACCCACACAAACCCACAGAAACCCACAGAGACCCATACAGACCCACAGAGACCCACACTAAAACTAGACTGTGTGTGTGTGTTACCAGGGGGTAAGTATCCACTGAGGTGCTGTGTAGCTGTGTATCAGACAGGCGACCTGCTGGACATCACCAAATGATGAGCAGCTCCACCACGTGGCTGATTTCGTCATCATCGTCGTCATGATCGTCACAGCGTGGACATTTACATCAGCAGCTAAACAACTCTTAAACACAGTGTGGTGTAACGCAGATTCTAAACGTGGAGGGGGGATAAACCAGAGGACCCGGAGACAAAATCCACACAGACACCACCACGGGGAGAGAGACGTAGACTCCAAATATACAGCAGCAGCAGCAGGCATCGTCCTGTACACCAGGCGAGGTAGTCAACATCTCTCAGGGTCTGGATCGAACCCACGACCTCCTGTATACCAGGCGAGGTAGTCAACATCTCTCAGGCTAATCGAACCCACGACCTCCTGTATACCAGGCGAGGTAGTTAACATCTCCTAGCCTCTGTGCTGCTACTGCTGCTGTTGTTGTTGGCTGTTGTTGTTGGCTGCTGCTGCTGTTGTTGGCTGTTGTTGTTGGCTGCTGTTGTTTGCATCGGGAAGTTCATCGCATCCGCAGTAGTTAATCGATGCGCGAACGTCTTTTGGTCTAAATCATCGCAATCCCTCCCCTCCCCTCCACCCCTCCCTCCACCCCCTCCCTCCACCCCCTCCCTCCACCCCCTCCCTCCCGTCCATCCCTCCCCTCCACCCTCCACCCTCCACCCCCTCCACCCTCCACCCCCTCCACCCCCTCCCTCCACCCCATCCCTCCCTCCCCTCCACCCCTCCCCTCCCTTCCCTCCCCGTGACGATAACAATCAACGGTAGCGGTTGCCCTGTCGGTAAATCGACTCGCCCCACTGTCCCCACCGTCCCCACCACCACCCCACCGTCACAGGAACGTGGAGTGTCCGCCACCGCGGGCCACTGTGATTATTGCCCCGTACCCCCGCCCCCCCAGTATTACGCAATAACACTCCTGCCGTGTCCACCGCCCTGTGTCGACTCCTGTGACTACTTTGTTGACCACGTGGCCGTGACGCCATTGTGACGTGTTTATGACGTGATTACGACGCCATTGTGACGTGTTTATGACGTGATTATGACGCCAATGTC